AAATACCATACAAAAATTGAATAGTTAGACTGATTGGAAGTTGTAGATGGCACCTAGAACAAAATTCTTCTCCAAATGCAACCTAGCCTTATACACTGAGAAGAACATTTCACTGGACTCAGATGTAATTTGTTTTCAGCTAGGTATGCATAGGATTGGGCTATTGGTCTTTAATATGAAATGGTGGATTCCTGAAAAGGTGGATTCACAACAAGCATGTTTTTAACTCTCAAACTGCTGCTGACAAGTTGTTGCCCTCCAAATGTTTTGGACCATAACTTCTATCAGCCCCTGCCATTGCAGCAACGGATTGATAAAAGCTGCTCTAAAAACTCCCTTTCATCCTGAAACCATGTGTGCTTTGTCAGCAGAAAATGAATAATGAATAAATGGCCGCATAAGTGGAAAAAATATAATAAAATGAATGAATGAAAATGAATAGGTCATATTGTAGACCAGTGTTCAATACTTATAATCTACTATTCAACATGGGCATAGCACTTAAGAGTATTCAAAAGGACTTTGCATGCATTACATCAGTAATCCTTCCAGCAATAGGTCAGTGTTATTATCCCCCCACTGTAGATGGTCTGCCCAGTATGATAGTAGTCTACCTAAAGCCATTTACTGTATTCCTGCCAGAAATGAGATTTGGCTAGGAACCTCTTTGATCCACTATACTACATAACATGATGAATAACCATTCACTGGGGAGTCTCAAAGGGTGCTCCTCAACTAGAATGCTTCATGCTCCAGAATAGTCATTTAAAGCCTGACAATGGGATGCATCTTTTTTTGAAATAATTATTCCACCACTGGACATCCATGTAACACAGGGTTCTTCCTGACTCTCAAATGCTTTCCAATTTGGCATTCAGAAATAATTGACGCAGTTCACTGTGCAAAAACTAGGAAGCAACTTACACTGAAACAGGGCAAGGTGCTTTTAGTCAGCTACTGTAGTTTATGGTAGGGATATGTGGGGATAGGATGGGATACTAACAAATATTAGCATATTTTTAACCCACCCACGTCCCTTGGGTAGATAGAGCAAGTTATAAAGCAATAAATAAAGGAATAAAGGAATGAATGATTGTGCCACTAACCTTAGTATAAGTATTTGCATTTTCAGGCTACAATCTTATGCCCGCTTACCAGGTAGTAAGCACCATAGGTCTCAATCAAATTACTACTTAATGGACATGAAAGGTATCTCGAAGGTCATCAGATCCAATTTGCTGCTCTGGGAGAATCCCCTAGATAAACCAGTTGAGAGGTGTTCTTACTTTGCCCCCCCCCCAACATTCAATAAATATACTGGGGCTGATGGAAGTCTAACAGGTTCCCAGCCTGGTTGTACACAGTGTAGATACACAGTGGAATTGCAGAGGCACTTCCCTCATTAGTTCCAGTGAGCCCTGAAGCCCAGAGACAGCATATTTTAGAGACTAAGTATGTCCTTTCTAATTTTGCCACACATTTGCATTCATTGCAAGATTTGTCCCTTATCTGTGCGGTGCTGGAGCTCTTTTGCTATCCATCTGAATGGCTAAAGCAGAGGTGAAGAATCTGTTGCTTCCAGATATTGCTGGACCAGCTTCCATCATCCTTGGTAATTGGTCACAGTGGTTAGGGTTGGTGGGAGATGACATGGCTACTGAATAACCTAAATAAATATGAATGGTATGCCTAGAAATAGACCAGCTGAGTTTGGGTTCTTTACTGTTTTGTAAGAAAAGCTGCAACATAACACAAGTATAATGCAGTGCATGAGCAAATTTATAACCCACCATTTCCAATGACATAAGCATGAACAACCCTCTTCTTACAAGGAAGAGAGGGCAAAACCAACAAACCACAAGTTTTTTTTATTGCTGGTGAATTCAAACAGGCAACTTTAATCTACTGAGGAGGATACACATACAAGCAAATATTTAACTGAGAGTTCTGTGGGTGTTTTATTTGTCAGTGCTTTAACTGCTGCACAGCTTCTAGGCTGCAGTTCTCAGCAATGAGGCCACCATTGCTGTGTAGTTTAAGCAACCCAACTGTAAAACAACATCAGTAGTTTTCACTAGAATTGAAGGACAAAATAAATGTAAATAAAGCAAAAGAGGTAAAACGCTTGACTGCAACCAAGTTGCTTTTCTCAAAAAAAGAGTAAGGAGATCTGCAGGGCCTGACACATACAGTAATTTTGAGATGTTGTAGAATAGTATCAAGGAAAGCTCATGTGGTCTGTGGGTTGTAGTCTGGTGAATGCTGCATGAGGAAATATGAACTTATGCCCAGCTCAGTTCCTGGTGTGCAAACTGCGAATAAAGTGCACTTGTGTGTGAAAATTATAGCCCCTTGGGGACACATCTACACAGTACGAACCAAATAAAATAGCATAAAATAAGCTCAAGGAGGTGTAGTTCTGATGCCACATGGGAAAATGTAGCTCAAGTGAAAGGGGTGTTCATAGGCAAGAGGCTAGAAGCCATTTTTCAGTATAAGCAAATAACAATTTGTGAGCCGTGAAATAACTGTGTTATTTAGGATGGGATTATAGACCCTCTAAGGAGCATGGGATTGTGCTACTGGCCAATTCAGGGGATAGATATTGCTACAACAACCTTACATATTCTAAATAGATCCATGATGTTGCCTTTTTAAAATTAAAAAAGCCTTCCATTATAGTGTTTTTGTAATGTTAGTAAAGGAACCAGTGTTGCAGCGGATGTTAGCAGTCAGTGGCTACTAGTGAAAGCAAGGATATTCCACTAGTCCAGCCTTATCTAATGCTTTGGACTGTGGTTACCAGAAGATTCAAGTGTAGCCCATCTCTTATTTGCACCATTTCCTCCATCACAGAATACTTGGAGGAAAATATATTTTAGTTTGTTAAAAACTTTTTCATGAAAAGCAAGACGCAGTATCTTTCGGATTTGCTGTTTCTCTTTTGTGGTTTAGGACAGCAGGTTAGAAAAGCGGAATGCCAAGAATAATGCATATTTTCATGGCAAATCAAATTATGAATTAAGGCTGGAATTTGATATCCCCTTCCCTGGGAATAAACCCCATTAAACTCAACTGGGCTTAATTCTGAGGAGACATGCATAGGATTGCACTGTAGAAAAGGATTAAGATTGCGATTCCATAGCCAATAAATGGCTCCTCCATTTTATTTTCCACTCAGCTGACCATTATTGCAGCACGTTGTTGCATGGCACTGCCTCAGACAGGAAACATAATTTAATTCAATATAAAATGGATGAATGATAAACGGGAACGCTAATCTCTCTGTGTGTTTGCTGAGTATTTCAGGATACACTGTCTAAAACAGGGCAGACCTGAATAAGCTTCTGCTTTCAGTGCTCCAGCAGATCCATTGCCCGCAATGGATTCACACCTGAGCGAAAATTAGGAAGAACAAAATAATTACACTTCGAAAATACAAGACAAGATACTGTTACAGTTATTCTTATTCATAAAACAATGCAGATCTCATCCTGGGTGGTAGAATGAAATTAAACAGAACAAACAACAGCTGTGTTAACTGTCTGCCAGATGGAGAAAACAGTAAATGGTCAGTCAAACAATAATGCAGGCCTCATCTAAACAAACCACAGAAGATGAGACTGCAGCCACATAAAGAAACTTGCATCCCAAGCTCAACTCATTGCTAGTGCAATTCAATTCCATTCAGTGCAAATGATACCTGGTTCTTTCTTTATTTTTACCCAGGAGGTCTAGTGACAGCATACCCTCCTCTTAAGGCTATTGGATGCTTTGTTAATTTAAGCTGTCCTTGGGTCTTTCATACTTTCCGCAGGCTCTGAAACAGCCTTCTCCAACTTTGGGTCCCCCAGAGGTTGAACTGCAACCCCCATAACCTCTGACCACTGGCCATGTGGGCTGGAGATGATGGAGGTTGTGGTTCAGCAATCTCTGGGGAGCCAACCTTAGGGAAGGTGGTTCGAGAATGCCTGCCGTCCTAGCTACACTGGTCACGATCCATTTGGAAGATCCTGGAGCGCTCCCCACTATAAGGCAGTGGAATATCACCTCCAGTGACTCATAAATAGCTTTCTGAAGAGAGATTACTGCACCCCTAATACTGCTGTTAAGTACATAGAGAAGAACATCAGGCATAGCTTCCCGAAGATCTGGAGAAGCAGATGAGCACTGCACAGTGTCTTGAACAATTCTAATTCCTGATGAATCCAGGAGACACATGGAGACTTCAATACCTGGGCCAATGGTCCACAATTATTGCCAGTGGTATCATTGGTGACAGAATTCTCAGGGGAGGAAGGCAGAGAGGATCCTGGTAACGTGAACAGTTACTATGGGGCGAATCGGAGCTGAAGCAGCCCTTCTGTTCAGTTCTATTACAAAGAACAAGGATAGGAGGCAGGGAAGACTTCAGCCATTTCTCTCCCGTTTTGGGCTCCTTGGCTAAAAATGCAACTTGTACAGTAATGATATAATTAATCCAGCAGAAGAGACTTTTATTTTGTTTTTTAAAAAGACTATTGGGAGTGGGAGAAGGTCTCTAGCGAGCCTTAGGATGGATGAGTCCAAAAGTAATTTTATAGAAATCCAGGAAGATGTCCAGCACCATAATACAGTGGTGCCCCGCAAGACGAATGCCTCGCAAGACGGAAAACCCGCTAGACGAAAGGGTTTTCCGTCGCGGAGGTGCTTCACAAGACGAAGTTCCCTATGGGCTTGCTTCGCAAGACGAAAACGTCTTGCGAAGCTCGCCATTTTTTTTTTGCTCCCCCCCCCCTTTTTCAAAGCGGCTAAGCTGTTAATAGCCTTTTAACAGCTTAGCCGCTAAGCCCGCTAAGCCGCTAATAGCGCTAAATCGCTAATAGCGCTAATCCGCTTAGCCGGCAATGGGGTTGCTTCGCAAGACGAAAAAACTGCTAGAAGAAAAGAATCGCGGAACGGATTCTTTTCGTCTTGCGAGGCACCACTGTATCATACACTGTGGTGCATTTTTTTTTAAAAAAAAAAAGCCTTAGGAGGGAGCACACAAGAGGGCAAACCACCTCCCCAGTTGACTGCCACTGTTGGGTTGTCTCAACAGCTAATGAGTTTTCCTTGACCCTGAGGCATCTTGGGTCCCATGGGAGGTACTGGTTGCAAGCAAGCACCTGAATATTGCCTAGTGGAATATAAGCCAATCACTAAGTTAAATGGGGCGTCTGTGCCAATCTACTAACTTGTTATTTGTAAAAGGTTGATGAGCATTACTCTTATCCCCCCACCCACCCATATGTAGTAAAATGCAGGTATTATGACTGTTCTCATAATAAGTTACAAGTCAAACTATCTCACCAACAGGTAGCTGACAGTGCTACTTGTTGCTTTAAAAAAACAAAAAAAGAGAGCAAAAATCCATAGAAAACCTACTGATTCCACTTTTTCATGCATGCCTCCAAACACAGGAGGTTTGTTTATCATACAGGAAGCAGTTTTGTTTTTGAGGCCATCATCAAAAGTTTCCAGTGAAAGGGGCAGGAGAATTCACTTAGTCAAGGTGTAGTTTGAAGTTACTGTTCAGTTAGTTTTCACATGGCCATTGGCCAAGGTTACAGCAGCAGTAGGAGACCCGGGTTCAGCATTCTCATCAAATCGCAAACGCAGGGTGTTCCTGATGACTAACTGTTCCATGATGACTGCTGCACAGAACCATGGAATGGCATACTCCAGGGTTATGAGGCCCATGAAGTTCAAGTCAAACTGTGAATAGTCCCAAGGGCAGGCATCAAACTGGCGCAGGATGAAGCCGGTGGTGAACTCCCAAGTATACGTCCACAGGGTGTAAATCAGGCAGCGCACTAGGATGTTGCACTTGTCCTTCAGGTACAGGTACATCTTTTCTACAATGAGGATGGAAGTTCCATAGATGAAGAGTGCCCATACGCTAGTGACGCCTGGGAATTTCCAGTTGAAATTGACCACAAACTCCCAAGCAGCTGTGAACATCACCTCACAGAAGTAACCATGAATAGCATAGAGGTACCAACGGGAGAAAGCAGTCAGGGGTTCTGCAGACGCCATCCTTCCGCACAGTCCCCAGCAGGAACTCTGAAAGACAATTGGGGGTGGAGAGAAGGATTAAAGACTCAGTAAACAAGGGTAACGGCACTAGATCTTGTCACACTGGAGGTTAATGACATAACAAAATAATATAATGCATAAAGGTACAAAGTACAAAAATGTGAATCAATAATATAACAGACAATGAAAGTGGCATAAATCTTTAAAGTGACCTGCTCAAAACCAGAATAGGAAGTAGGAGTATCATTTTTTTTGGTCTGACTAGTGAAGTTTTGAAGAGGAGTGACACACTGCACTGTCTTCCTTTTGCCTAATTTCTTGCAGTATGCTCAGAACCAGATTACAGTGTAATATAGTGTTGACTCATGCGTGGCCAGGAAAGTGTCTTCTCACAGTTCGATACAGAAGCAAACCTTGGATCTGCACATTCTCCCTCAGCTGTGTTGTGCATATAACTTTAATGAGGACTGAGGGTTTTGTGCATGCATAAGCAGGCCTCACTTTTGTTTCGTCTTTGGTACTAGACACCAGGCAGTGGGACCTACTTTCACATAGATGCCTATGTGCAAACGCCCCAGTTCTCATTTAAGTTAGGCTGTGGTATTCCTATTGCCTACACACTTCAGCTGTACCTGGGAATCAAGACAACTAGAAAGCCTGAAAAGGGGGTGCATATGAAGCTTGTTTAAAATGTGACACACGTTCTACGTAGCAGCAGGTAAGACCAAGCTAAGGCAAGCATAAGAAGAGATAATGCCACACTAATTTTAGCTAAATGATGCAAGGTGCTCTACATCCAAACAGGAAGCTTACGAGAAAGAGTAAGTTGGAGAAGTGACTAAGGTGCAAAACTAATGGAAACATGAGGAAAGAAAAAGAACAGTATGAGGTACAATTGGTAAGTGACACAAAGGATACCGAAAGGCATTTTAAGACGTTCATTTAATAAAAAAGGGAGTGTGACAAAAAACAGTTCAGATATAATGTCAAAACCTTGATTTGGTGTTAAATAATAAATAATAATAATAATAATAATAATAATAATATAATAATTTTATTTGTACCCCGCCCATCTGGCTGGGTTTCCCCAGCCACTCTGGGGGGCTTCCAACAAAGATTAAAAATACATCAAGATGTCACACATTAAAAGCTTCCCTAAACAGGGCTGCCTTCAGATGTCTTCCAAATGTCAGGTAGTTGTTTATCTCTTTGACATCTGATGGGAGGGCGTTTCACAGGGCGGGCGCCACTACCGAAAAGGCCCTCTGCCTGGTTCCCTGTAGCTTTGCTTCTCGCAGTGAGGGAACCGCCAGAAGGCCCTCTGACAGATGAGTTTTTCTGTATCCAAAAGTGCTCTGGCATCTGGATATTAACAACAACCTAGGAACTTCAGAACTAGCTGCCCATGCAGTGCTACTTCCCCAAGTGCTTCTGGCCATACTACATTCTCAATGCACATCTCTTGTGTTCTCCAAAAGTCTTCTTGGGATAGCAATGCTTGGCTATAACTTAGAAAATTGCCAGCTACTGCTCCATCCACCTCAACAAGGAGGCATGTCCAGTTTTATAGTCTGTTCTATCAATTGACTTAATTTGCAGCCCACATTTTTATCCGAGAAGCTCAAAGTGGCATGCATAGTCCCTGAGATTTAATCCTCACAACCACCCGATGAAGTAAGTTAGGTTGCAAGATAATGACTGACTTAATGTCACCCAGTAAGCTTCATGCCGATTGGGATTTGAACCTCAGTCCTAGTCGGATAGTCTCACATACTACACCCCACTGACTTATCCCACCTTTTGGGAGCCAAGTGCAGGACCTAAAAAGTGAACTGGTGGTGATACCAATTTCCATGGTCTGTAGCATGAGAACATTTGGGTTCTGCCTGATACATCTGGATGCAGAACTATTTCCATGTCCTACAGAAAAGCTTTTTCTTCTGAGAAAGTTACACATTGCTGGAGTTGCTTCTTGGGGAGAGAGAATGGTGGGAACAGCGTGACCAGTGCCCCATGACAATCTGAGTTCACATGTTCACACAAATACAACCTATTTAGAATACTTTTATTTCTCTCACTCGTATCATAACCTTTTCCCTTCCACATTAGAGGAAGAGTCTTTTGTTATAGCTACAAGGCATGTTTAGGTAGAAGGGCAGAGGTCAGGGCCAAATACCTACTTGATATCAAATGGTTCTCCATGTGAGATGAAGCCAGTGCTATGTTGACATTCTGCCTTTTCCTTGGTTTATAATAATATAAAAAAGAAATTCAGCCCCCACACCGAGACATTTTCAGGCCAAAATCCAACCCTAGCCCTCCTGAATATGGTACACTATGAACTGCTCCCTAGTCAGATATTAATTGGACTTTTTGAGGCCTGTGAGTTGTCACTGATGAAGTCACAACTACTCCATTGACCTGGGAATAAGCTAGGTAACAGCATACTTAAACTCAATGAGGTAGGGTTGTCATTGTCGTTTAAAAAAACCTTTATTCCCAGCTATACTAAAGTATATAGGGTCTCATGCTGGTCTTCTCTGGCACAGTAGATCAGGGGTTTGGATTGCTCTGTGTAACACAGTTAAAAACTAGCCACCACTGCTTCATCAATGAGGCTGTTTTCCGTACAGCATGTGGAGATATGGATAATACAACACAAGCCAAACTGCTAATTTAAATTGCACACATAGATTTGATGAGGAATCTAGATTTCATACAAACAAGCAACGTATGGAGGAATCATAGAATCGTAGGGTTGGAAGGGGTCCCAAGCGTCATCTAGTCCACTCCAGGAATCTCAACTACAAACTACGTTTTAAAAAACCCTTTACCTATATAATCTTCTACAGCTGGGGGGGGGGGGTAGACAGAGCTAGCAATGAAACAAAAAAGGGACACCCAAAGAGGGAAGAAAGCTATATGTTTCCTAGCCACAGCAGCTACAGTGACAGGGCCCCACATATTTTGGCCCTGAGACATTTGTTTCAACTGCAAGACATGGCAATAACAGCTAATCTCAGGCAGCTTTTCTAGTGCTTTGGCAACACCAGTTGCTCAACGCACATGTTGCAGATGCTGTAAATAAAGCACATTAAACAGTCACTAATGCCTAGGAAGGATCCAGAGCAGAGCAGCACTCAGGAAATGTGATGACAAGGAGCTAAGATGCCTTGCACTTGATACTTCTGTCTCCTGAATAAAACTTGTTAGGTGTGCCAGTTTTGCTCTTAGAAGGAACTGGCTCAACTCCACCCTTAGAAATAAGAATGACTACGGCAGTCTCTCTGGCGCACATCCCATATCTCAAATGGGGGCAACAACACAGACAGTGTCCATGGCTGTTAAATTTCAAAGCAGCTGTCCTTCACATGCAATACTAAATCAGCTTTTCAAAAATAAACAGACTTTATTAAAATGCTTTTCTTTGAAGGGCTACAGAGAAAAAACAAAGATGTGCACTTCCATTGTGCCCTTCTCTCAGTGGGGAATTAGCAAGTATCAAATTTATAATTAGCTAGCGGCACTGACTACTAAGAGCAGGCAGGACTTATCAAAGGCTTGTTTCTCACTTTCTAGTGGTCAGCGATGGTGTTGGTGGCAAGATGGAAGCCAGTAGCCATTCAAATGCTGAGATCCTATCTCCTTGCTCTGAGGCAACTTCTCTTGCAATAATGGGTTTCCACTCAGCTTGACATTGATCCTGGGACACCAGCTCTTCAATGTATAAAAATATGGGTTGTGCACTGTTGTGAGTTGAATTTCTGCCTAGGAGAACTATAAACTTAGTTCTATTTATTGAAAGTTGTTTGTCCAAATATATGGACCAGGGCACACAACACAACAATTACCTCTTTCTCCAGTTACACTACAGTGAACCTGAGACCATAGGGTCTGTTATAAGGATCAATTTATACTCAGTTACTTATCTGCATTGTAAACCACATAAGGCTATGATACAATTAGGGTATAACCACATCCCATTTAAATCAGTGCACACTCCAAGAGATTTTAATGGGTCTTTATTTAGTACAACAATGTGGTAGGTCCTGTACGTAACATCACAGTGATACAATCCATGCACAGGCTCACAACCTGCATTAGCTGAGGAAGACAGAGAGGAAGAAAGATGTCAAAAGGCTTTGTGCTCTTTTCTTGTCTTTTTAGATTGTGTAGTTCAAGTAGAGAGGCATAGCAAGCTATCTTCCATTTGTTTATTTTTAGGTATTCCCACTGTGTCTATGCTTGCTTCTTTTCCCTTCTAGAGGAATTCACCTTCCTGGGCTGTATTGTTGCTCAGTCCAGTACAGGCTGTGTCTTGTGTCAGGAGATCCCTGACTAGCTCTCAAATCCATCCTGAGTAAGGAGATGGATAGAATAAAAAGGAACGACAAAAGAAGATTAAATGAATCTAATTATCAAATCAAGTCAAAAGAGCAGGGATGTACAGGCTTCTCAGTCATCAGCAGAAAACATCAATTTATATTAGTCAAAGGGTATTTTGCGCTGCTCCTCCCACGCATCTGATGCCTATTTCACTTGGGGACCATTGAAAAATAAAAAGGTTGAGAAATAGCATGAAGACATAGAGTCATTTTTAGATGAAATGGATTATCTTGACCCATTCCAATCTGGGTTCATGCCCGGTTCTGGGACAAAATTGGTCTTGGCCATCCTGATGGCTGACCTTCTTCGGGGGCGGGGGGGGGGGACAGAGATGGCAAGTGCAAACCTGCTCGTTTTTCTGGATCTTTCAGTGACTTGATACCATTGACTAGGCTAGGGCATCATCCTGGGGGCAGAATTTTCCTGTGGTTTCAGTTCAACTTACAGGGTAGATTTCGAAGAATCATACTATATGTTCCCTTGCCCCCTGGCACTTGATCTGGAGGGTACCACAGGCACAAAACTATTTAACATCAATATGAAGCTGCTGGGGGCAAGCATTAGGAGATACAGAGAGAAGTGTCACCAGTATACTTGTTTCTCTGTAACATCTGAATCAGGAGAGGCTGTGCACGTCCAAA